CAACAGGTTGAATGGAAGTAGAAATTCAGAATTTAGATTGCCTTCTTATGTTTAGTATGTTTCCTTGCTAGATTTAGTATGTTTCATTTTCAAGACAGGAGTTTCCATGATGAATGCACCTGTTTAGGTAATTCAGCATTCTCTATTTTAGTTACTCCTTTCTTTTCTTTGTGGACTTTCCTTTCAGAAACACTAGGCAAACTCAACTGAATTCCACTGGGCTTGCTGAAGCAATCTTATGACAGAGAGCAGCCATACCCAAAATAGCTATGGCAAAATCTGAACGACAACAAAAAAAGCCTGTAGTATCTGTCAGGTAGTAAGCCTGGTGACAACTTTACATCTTAAAGTCTATGGCTTTTACAACTCCAACCTGGCAAACACTTTTTGAGTGAACCTTTTATAGAGACCACTCCAATATTAAACAATAATTCATTAGTACTCCTTTAAATTTTTATATGAAGTTAGTAGTCATATTATTAGCTTCATACAGCTAGTACTTCATGAACCTTACCTAAATCCAGATTTAGATTATGTGTAGCCACATTTTTGAATTCTGATATGCAGGAGAGCTAAAAATAGATTATCCTATTTGTTCACATTCTCTAGCTCTATACCAACTGCCAAAATTATTTTTAGCATCCACATCCTGGCACATTTAAGTCCTACTAGTATTTCTGATCTACATGCTTCAATAATCCTGTACATCAGCTACCGATTTTCCTTAATTTTGCTGATAGAAATGCATGATAGATCCCTAGAAGTCACTAGATGGAAATCCTATTCTGTTAATAAACACCATCTGCTCCCTTCTTTCCTGCCCCCCTGCCATTATCCATAAAGATGAGATCAGTCTTGAAATTTTTAACATTGCTCTCAAACCCCTCTCAAAAGCATTTCAGCAGAATTGCTGAATTCCAATACCACCACTCCAGTACAAACATGAAGACCATTTCATTATTTATACAGTGTCTAATAATTCAGTTTTATAGTTCAGCTTTAAAAAGATGTGTAGCAGTACAAAACAGATAAAATTATATTTCATAACACTATTATAAATAATTGTGATTCATGTCCAGGACATGCAGGTGTTTCACTATAAGAATAAGCTATATATTAAGTTAGTTATTTTTTTCTTCCCCATGATCAATAGGACAGCACAAAAATGTCTATCATAATTACCTTGAATAAAGATTGCCATAAATTCTAGCAGTAAATTTTTTAATAAAGTCAGTGATTTTAACAAGGTCAGCTACCTGTTTAATAGCTGTAAAATAACCCAGTAAGAACAAAAGGAAGCACTGTTCAAAGCAGGACTAGGTTCACTGAAGCCCCTTGCTGTATGGGCCAAGCTGCTATCTTGCTTGCTTTCTTAGCAGCTGTATTTCCCCTCCCCTGCCCTCAGTGAATAAAGCTGCTTATGTATCTCAGGACAACAGGAAATGGAAAAGTGCATTAAATTCTTCTATTCCAAAATAAAAATAATCTTGTCAGAAGTAAAATAAAAACGACACAGCTACACTGCGGCTTGGCCTAAATGATCAAATAAGGGATCAAGTATAGCATTTCTCCTCCATACATTAATACCCATACATGCTACACAGATACTGAAAGCTACTAAAAAAAAAAGAAAAGATGCCAGAAACCTCTCCAGAAAAAAACAGGCAAGGAATCAGCAGACTTGCAACTCCCCCATTTCTCACTCCAGTCAGCAAAGCTGTGTCACTAGACAGTGATGAAGTGATAAATTGCTGCTGGTAATACTGTAGCACAAGTTTTTTTCTTAATATCCCTCCTTAATTTTCAATGCATCTCACCATTTTCTGTTGCCACTGTAAGTGAAGTCCTTTTATTTTGAGTAATCTGTTTCAGTTTTCTCTCATTAAATCCTTTTTCTCCAGTGGTATTGTGCTATATAGAGAGGTATATCTCTGTATTTATTTCTCAGATGTGTTCTTTCCCAAATAATAGAGAAACTGAACATAAAGAAGTATGCGCACAATGGTACCAAAGCTTACCCAAATATGCCACTTGACATTGAGGAAAGAAAGAAGGTGAGAAGGAGGGAGAGAAGGAGAGAGGGAGAGAAAGAGAGAAGGATGGAGGGACAGAAGATACAGACTGAGGCTTATGATATTGATGGTAGGAGGCCGGAGTGCGTATTTCTGTGGTCTATTGTGTACTTCGTTTGAGTGGGTACAATTGCAGGGGCTTACAAATGATGTCCTAGCACAGTAGGTCTATTGATGATATAATTTTATATCATTTCATACACACTTTTATTCTCTGGATACCAGAAAAATTAATATGTTCCTCTAAGTTATGATCAAGAAAGTCCACAGTAGATTCATAGTTCCCACAGATTCTGTCAGGTACTCTGGAGTTTCTTGTCAATTTTCAGCTCAGCTGCAGATACTTCAAGGAGGATGGGAGGTCAAAGAAAGAGGTGTTGGTGAGCTTTGTTTATTTGTTTATTTATTTATTTGGCAGGTTTGGGGCTTTTTTTAAAGACAGTCAACCCTAATGCATCCCATATAACCGTCTGTCTATGTCTTCTATTTTCAAACATTTCAAAGGAAAGTATTTTAAATGATCACTGATTATGAAAAGTATGTTCCTTCTTTTTCAAATCACACCTGGATCTAATCCTTTCAGAGATATGTCTCTACCGCTCATCCTGCCCTCTCATGCTATCTCTGTCTATCATTTTGCTTTATTGCAATGATAGGTTGCTAATCATTTCTGTCTTAGGTTTCGAATTACAAATCTATAATGAAGCACTAAAGTATGTGGTCTGATATTTAGGGGTGCTAACTATGCAGATATTTCATCAGGAAGCTAAAAAGGAACTACTGGGCAATTAAAATTTTTTAAAATTGGATACTAGGTAGAACCAGATCTGAAAATGTTGATTGCAGGGTTATACACATTCACAGAGTACAAGAACAGAAATGGAGATTGCCCTGATGTGATTATCATTTAAATACCTCTATTCTCTCATGTCAAGGAATGATGCATGAAATGAATGTAATGTAATGAGTTTTCATTTATTTGCAAGCTGAGTGTAAAGACAGGTAGCTTCAGAGGAAGTCAGAAAAATAGGAATTGAAAGAAAAATTCTCTCACTGAATGAAGCTGCCTTGATGCAGCTCTTAAAAAAGTAGATCTGGCTGTGGGAAGGGAGATTCCAGTGAACTAAAACTCTGGGGTCTAACCTAACTTCTTTCAATATTCCTGATTCCACAAAATAAAGCCTGAGATTGGAAAAAGATGAGTATCAGATTCAAGGTAACAAGTTTATGTTTTGTTCTAAAATGCTGATTTCTGTGGCTGAAAGTAAAATTTCCCCACGCTTGTCAGTGATTCAGAAGCCTGAGTTCTATTAATCAGCATGTTATTTTAGCCTAGAAACAAACTATGTGAGGAATCATTTATATGTGCAAACTGAACTCTATTAGTCATCTTCCATTTTAGTTTTAATAATTCTCTATCATAACCAAAATGCATAATACACTATCTGTTAGCATTAGTAGTGCAAAACCTTTTGGCAAATGATGTATAAGGACAGCAGATGATACCATACATAGTGAATTCGAATTTCCTAATTTATGGCACCAAGTCAATGATAAAAAGTGCTACATATTTTCCTAATATGCGTAAGAGAAGTACATACTATATTTTGCATAGTTAAAAATCCATAGGGATTTCGGTGTAATATTTTTGTAATAATGCTGCTGCTTAACAATGTTACTGAACACTTGAAAAATTAACAGACTACAGAGTAGCTATAATCTAGCCAAAAATAATTGTTACACTTAGCTTGAATTTCTATTTTGTAAATTACCTCTTCCTTGTGTGCAAGCCAGAAAAAAGAGTGTGTGTAATTGCCTCATTTATTTTCTATAGTAACTCAAGGGACAAGAAAGACCTGAAAATTCTTTTATGTTTTTCATTTCATATCTTTACATAAGTACATATAGGAGAGAACTTCTATATGAAGTAGCATTCTAATGCATCATACCTGAAGATAAACTATGTCAATGGCTGAATACATTTTACTAGAGAGTGATTCTGGGCTGTATTTCTATGGCAGCCCTTCATTGCATTACCAGTTTTTGGATATTTTCCTAGCTATCAAAGTGTTACTTAGCTAGTTACTTTCTCAGAGATTAGCTTCTGTTGCAGGTGGGTACTACAACGGCTTCAGAGTTTCTCCAGGCTGTTTACTATAGCTCCCGGCTTGCTGACAAAGATACTTAGTGGAAGCAGAAAGATCAAGTGTTTTTACATCAATTAAGAAAAGAAAAAAAAAAACAACAATAGGAAAGAAAAAGAGAAAAACAACAGTTTCTGTTTATATCCTATAAACACATGTTAGAGTTCATAGTCCCAGTGCCAAGAAATTGATTAAACATGACTAAAGTGAGTTTGATCATAAAAAAGATCCTTCCTGGAACATACATACAATACTATGAACGTCTGGACTTCAGGAATATATGAGCCTGCTCGTTTACTTCAGTGTCTGCGTGAAAACTGTAGACAATTGTGAAAACTGCAATAGAGAAGTAGCTTTATGTCAGTTCAGAGAACTGAGTCAGCATTTCTCCTATGCAAGTATGAGAAGGAATCTGTCCATAAGAAATTCAACTTTCTAGTGAAATTCAAGATTAACTAGTAATGTCTGGCATTAATTTGAATAAGCATATATTAGAAGGACCAGAAAGATTATGACTATGTTTTTCAGAATTTAATGAATTTGGCATTATTAAAGTAAAGGTCATAAAACATTTGTGTCTAGATGGGACTATAGGTGGTAGAGTTTTAAATATTTTGGTTTCAGATGTGAGTCTGTGCATCTGAATGACTGCATGAAAAGGAAACATTGTAACTTGGATGAGGTTATACGTGTGTATATGTATATATTCTTGTGGGAAGTTTAGTTTTGTTAAGTATAGAGATCAGAGAAAAAAATCCAGAATCTTTTTTTAAGAATGTCTTACCTTCATAGTAAACTTTAAAGCCATGAGCACTAACTGCAAAGTCACTTGTCAAGCGCAGTGAAAATACAGATTTTGTACTTGTCACAGGTGGAGGAAGATGAAATCCTGTTAACCTAAGAAAGAAAAAAGCAAAACTCATGGTTAATTCTCTGAAAAATAAACCTGTATGTGACACGTTGCTGTTCCAAACAATATTTCATCATGGAAAGGGCAACTGACTTAAACATATATAGTTTATATTACTTGAGAAAATGATTTTTATACAGTAGTTTAAGGAATCAATATAAAATTTTAGTGGGTGTCATGGACACTGAACCAGGTAAGGTACTTCGGTTTGAGAAAACTGTACTTAGAAGAGATGATAGTAAGATAGAGAAACTGGACTTCAAAAATGGTCCAGATTATCAGTAGATGAAAAAAAAACCTCACAAACCACCAGCCAAGTTACACTATTTAGAGTTATGTTCAAACACCTATTGCATTATATATTTTACACAGACTTCTGTTAAAATTTGTAGTGGATGAATTTTCTGCCGTAATATGATGAAAGAAAGGGGACCATGATTCACTTTATTGAGGGAATTTAAGATTATTTAAACTAGGTATTTTAGCCTTAGAGAAGATATTTCTGCTTTCAACTCAAACAGGAAATCCAAAGACCATCATAGTGAAATCATACATCCATAAAGAAAGCTCTCTTGCAAGGAATTACAGGATTGCTGGGGGTGGGGGTGGGGTGGGGGTGTTTTTTTGGTTGATTTGGTTTTGTTTTATTAAAACCACTATGTTTGAGACACAGATGAAAGGACAATTTTCGAGTACTCGTAGAACTGCTGATATGCTCTACTGATACTCAGCTCTACACATTCTTTTCATTTGACGTACATATGATAAGACTTACTTTCTCTATTCTAGAATAACTTTATCAGGGTTCATACCAGACTAACAAAACCCATAGCATTTACCTGTCAAAAATACGTAAACAAGCTGAATAATTTAGCTGTGTATACTCCTCAGCCTAGTTAGCTGTGTGTGGCAAATTGTGTAGCAGATTAGGATGATTTATTTTAATAATGATTAACATTAAATTGTTTTCATGTGTTTGTAGCTGAGCCCTATTTTTGCTTATTACTTTGAATTTAGAATTATAGAAAAATTTAGGTCAGATAGTCCAATCTCCTGCTCAGAGTAGGCTTAACATAAGAGTTAGTCCAGGCTGCTCAAGATTTACCTTTTCCTTTCCCATTGTTAGAATAAATTCACCATTTCTTTTTTTTTTCCATACATACATTCATGATCATGTTTTGATGTACTGTTATATGTGAAATATAAAATCTAGTGTACACATGCACAAAAAGCCCTCCAAAACTCTTCACTATTTCATTAAACACCCACTGAAAAACAGCCATGTATTAAGTAAGATTCACAGACATTTGATTTTGCACTGCATCTTTACAGGATTCCAGAACATCCAATTTATGCTATTGGCTAAAATGATGACAGGTATGAAAGCCAAATGATAAGATAGTATTACTCATAGAATAATGAGCAGAAAATTGAAAAACATGAACAAAAGTAGCAACAACACTTAAAGAGGTGTTGTTTTGGGTTTTGGTAGCAGGGGAAGGGCTGCAGGGATGGCTCCTGTGAGAAGCTTCTGGAAGCTTCCCCGGCTCCAAGTCGGACCTGCTGCTGGCCCAGGCTGAGCCCATCAGCAGTGGTGCCTCTGAGAGAACAGATTTAAGAAGGGGAACCTGCAGTGAGTGGGGGGACTGGAATGCGAGGGGAGCCCCTCTGCAGACACCATGGTCAGCGAGGAAGGAGGGGAGGAGGAGTGCCGGAGGAGGGGACGCCCCTGCAGCCCGTGGTGAGACGGCAGGCTGTCCGCTCCCAGCACAGGGAGGGGAGCGGGGGAGCGGAGGCCCCCCAAGATGGCCGGGACTCCATGGGAAAGCCCGCGCTGGAGCAGGCTGTGACTGGAGATCGGCCTGCGGAAAGGACCCAGGCCAGGGAAGTTTGGGAAGAACTGCAGCCTGCAGAGAGGACTCACGTTGGAGAAGTTGGTGAAGGACTGTCTGTCGTGGGAGGGACTCCACGGTGGAGCAGGGGACGGGTGAGGAGTCCTCCTCCCCCTGAGGAGGAAGGAGCGGCAGAGACCAGGTGTGGGGAGCTGACCCCAACCCCCACCCCCTGTTCCCCTGGGCCGCCGGGGGGAGGAGGGAGAGAGAACCGGGAGGGGGGTTGAGGCGAGAAGGAGGGAGGGGTGGGGGAAGGTGTTCTAAGGTTTGGGTTTACTTCTCATTATCCTTGTTTTGATTTGACTTGTAGTAAATTCAGTTGGTTTTGTTTCTTCCCCAAGTTGAGTCTGTCTTTTGCCCGCGACCATAAGTGGTGAGTGATCTCCTCCCTCTCCTTGTCTCAACCCACGAGTGTTTCTTTTTATTTTGTCCTCATCCCACCGGGGCCGGGGGGGGGGGGGCAAGCGAGCGGCTTTGCGGTGCTTTGTTACTGGCTGGTCTTAAACCACTACAGGTGTATATACAGATCTATAAATATGCAGCAAGTCATCAGTGTGTCTCTGTCAGACATCTATTCTTTGTTTTGTCATTGGCATCTTTATGAATAATGTCATTAAAACAAGACTAGATTAAAGAATTTATGCTAATATCTAAAGATGGAAAACTATTTACAGAATATTTAGGATTTAGGAAATGCATTTTTTTATTTGATTATGAGAATATATTTGTGTTCTAACAAAATTAATAAAATGCTTACCTCTTCCAAATAAGCATATGTATAATTCCTTGACAAGTCAATATTAGTGCAATTTTCCCATTAGCTTATTCATAAACCAGTAAATACATTAATTCATTGGTAAGTATCACCACTTGAAAGTAAGCTGACCTAACATAAAACCAAGCCAATAATTTGAGTAAAACTTTAATTTGCAGCACACAGCAGATCTAGGTCATATCTATTTAGCTACTCAATGATTTGAGGGTATTGTGGGTATAAACATATCCAGCAGAAAAGAAATACACATTTATCCCAAATTATTTGATTTTGTGACTGGTACATATGCACAGCTTAGATGGGCAGAGGATTTTTAAAATGAACATATATGTTACTAGTGTAGCAAGCATTACACCTCCTCATGCAAAACAAATCATTACTAGAGCTGGTTTATACCATTTAGCTTTCAGGGGTGTGCGTTTTATCACCATCATTATGCTGCATTTACTCAGAAATGTTCAGATTGTTTCTTTAATTTGGTTACTACACTTAAATTCATAAGAAAAAATGCAAAGGTTTTATTTGTGGTTTAGTGGGTACAAAATTATTTAAAATTTTTAATAAATAAAAATACAACAACATGCAAATATCACTTGGTAAAATCACTTATTCAGACCAGTCACAACTAAATGGCTAACTTAAAGAAAGTACCCTGGTAAAAGCAAAACTTTAGGTGGGACACTGACACAAAACAAGCAGTCATCTCCTTAAGCTGGTATCATCTGCATATTAAACACATTTAAAATACAAATTTCCTGTAGTAGCTGAGGGTTTTTTTATCTACAGCAATTTTCTCTCTTACATTCTATTTGCACATTTCATTTCATTTGCATTATCATTTTTCAAATTTAAAATACCTAATGGAGTGATTCAGGTGTCTCTCTACTGCTGCTTTAGACACCATGAGGTATTTGAGACATCAGCACAGAGCTGGTAGATAGGACGCTGGACCAACATGAGACCCACGCTCTTCTGGAGAGCTTGAGGCCAGGCAGGATCCCTCAGGGATTCTAGGTGTCAATATGTTACATTAGACACTTCAATCACTCCTTTATAGTGTACCACTTTGGCAGAAGAAGCTTATACTAGCACAGGTGTTTTTTGGGTTGGGTTTTTTTTTTTGGTTTGGTTTTTTTTTTTTGGTGGGGTTTTCATTCAGCCAGTCTTTATACTCTTTCCCTTTTTGGTTCTGGAATTGGCTCATTTAGTGTTCCCTGAAATATATAAAGAGGTTCCATAAGCAACTGATACTGGCTCCTGTGGCGAGAAACCATGGGAACTAAAAGATAATGTCTACAGAATTCTGAGAAGGAGATACACTTCTTTCTGTACCAACTCTTAAAAAAAAAAAAAAAAAAAAAAATTTTGAATTGTAATGTTCTACTGGAATAGTTGTTTGAGATGCTGCTGTTCAGCTACAGAGTGTTATCCAATGTACAACAGTGGTACAAATTTGTAAATTAATACACTGCGTATGAATACATATGTTTTCTTTGTTCTTCCTGGTGTCTTAGCAAGCTTGTCAGGTACCTTATGCACACAGGAAATGGGCACATTATGTGTGCACCTAGTAGACTTTGAAGTTGTGAATGTGAAGTATGAAATTAGCTGGGTGGATACCCAAAGACTACAGATAATTCTGGGAGTGCAGGAAAAGGTTGAGAAATACTTTTATTCATTCAGCTCTTCTACGTTAGAAAGATCAGATGTTCTTCCTGAAAAACTTCTTGTCTATAGAAACTCCAGTAGTAAATATGGTGAAATTAAAGACAATATATCACTTGGAGACATAATATGTATTTAGAATTTAGATATTACTTGCATGCAAAATTATGATGCTTTGTAAAGTAGTTTCAGTAACGTGAATCTGGCAATGTTTTTGTAATCACCTCACTGTATAAGAAGGAATAGAGGACAGAATCACTTGGTAACCGGGAGCCAGAGAAAAGGGCATATGAGATTTAATTAAAGATATGTGTATAAATAATCCTGAGTAGATGCAAGACAGAGGAGAAGAAAATCATCATCACCATCATACTCTTTGGCAAAGAATTAATCCTGCTGGTTGTTTACCATAATTACCCCCCTAGTCCCAACTTCATCTTCCTGAGGAAAACCAAAGCTGTTGAGGATCCAGGGGGACATCAGAAGGGTGAGAACACCACCAGAGAAAAGAGGTAGGTTATAGGAAGTTTCTGTACAATTTCAACTGTATTATCAATGAGACCTTTTTGTAATAATTAGTTACTTGGGGTATGAGTGTTAGTAATATTTTAAGTGTATTGGTAATAACAACTGCTATAATAACTGTTATATTTTT